GAAACGTGGACTCCATTTAACAAATAGTTACAGGTTGTTAAACCAAATGATGAAAGCTGGAAGAAAAAAATTCTTGATGGTTCGTAGGGGAGAATACATTCGGAGAGGTAAACCGGGCCGGAGTCGTTTAGGGGTTTATAGGTTAACACCAGCACTTTGAATTGTGCTCGGAAGCTAATAGGCAGCCAGTGGAGCTGGTGTAACAGCGGAATGGTGTGCTCCCTGTACCCAGCACCCGTTAGTAATCTGGCTGCCGCATGCTGTACTTGCTGCAGTCTTCAGAGGCAACCCCACGTAGAGAGCGTTGCAGTAGTCTAAACGGGATGTAGGGCACACAGAAGACTGGGCAGTTAGTAAAAGTTCCGTCACCGCCATTACCTTTCCTCACCGAGAAAGTAGGTCTTTGCCAAAACATTTTTTTTAAAAAAAGCCTTGAAAATAAGCCCAGAAGTGTAATGTGATGAGAAATTAACTCAAAGAATGCGGATACATACTGAGTTGCATGGTAGTGTGGTGAGGATAAACAGTTCTCCCATTTTATAGGAAAGGGGAGCTCTACTCAGCTGAATCTTTTCATCCGTTTAATTACCTTAATGCAATGAAGTCCTTACAAGCATCTATACAAAACACTGTATTGCACTCTACTGCAGTCAGTAACGTTATGGCATTTTCCGTCACTCCAGATTAATTTCCTTTACTAAAAGTCTGTCTAAAGAGTAAAGTTTTTAATTGGTTCTTAAAAGAAGAAAGGAGGGCACTGTTTAATTTCTTTCGGGAGGGTGTTCCACTGGCTCGGGAAGGCCACCAAGAATGCACTCTCCCTCATTGCTGTCAGCCACATTTGCGACTGTGGTGGTAGTGAGAGTAGAGCTTCCCCTGAAGATCTTAAAGAGTGAACTGGTTGGTATGAGGAGGTGTGGGCAGATAAGTAAGTTGGACCTCAACCATTTAGGGATGTAAAGGTCAAAACCAGCCCCTTTAATCAGGCTTGGAAAGAAATTGGCTGCCAGTGCAGGTGCTGTAGCAGAGGAGTTGTGTGCTCCCTGGGCTGCAGCTCTTTGGACAAATTGGGTTTCCGGGCGCTCTTCAGGGGCAGCCCCACATAGAACCTGTCACAGTAGTCTAGGTGGGATGTAACTAAGGCGTGGACCACCATGGCCAAGCCTGGCTTTCTCAAGGTACGGGTGCAGCTGGCGCACAAGTTTTAATTGTGCAAAGGCCCTCCTGGCCACCACCGACACCTAGGCTTCCAGGCGTAGTGATAAGTTCAGAAAGACCCCCATACTGCAGACCTGATGTTTCAAGGGGAGTGTATCCCCATCTAACACAGGTTGCCTCCTATACCTTAATCTGCCTTACGACTGATACTGTTTGGTTTCAATTTCAATTTGTTTGTCCTCATCCAGTCCATTACAGCTGCACTGGTTCAGGGTCTGAGTGGCATCCTTCGCTTTCGGTTGAAATGAGCAGTAGCGTTGGGTGTCATCTGTGTACAGATCGCACTGAACTCCAAAACTCCGGATGATGCAGGACCCCACAGGACAATGGCCATAGGGTCGATCAGGCATCCCCTAGTGCCACCTTCTGGGTCCGTCCTTCCAGGAAAGACCGGTGTCACTGTCAAACAGTGCCCCCAAGTCCCATCCCAGCCAGGCGACCCAGAAGGATACCATGGTCGATGGCACTGAAGGCCGCTAAGAGGTCCAAGAGAACCACCAGGGACACACTCCCCTGTCTAGTTCTCTGCGTACATCATCTCCCAAGGCAACCAAAGCCATCTCTGTCCTGTAGCCAGGGCGAAAACCAGACTCTTCCTTCTCATTAGAGACAATCCAATACGTAGACCTGTTTGAATTGATTTTAAAATCCTGTTCAAATTTGATTTTTAAGATTTTCCATGGAACCCCTAAGGGTGCTTTTGTGGAACAATAGGGTTCCATGCAACAGATTGAGAGCTAGCGCTAGTCTAGACAGCAGGGGAAAAAGTTTGTGGGTGGGGCTTAGCTGTGGGAGGGCAGGAGGGAGGGGCTGAGAGGTGAGGGAGAGGGAATTTGCATATGGGTGCTGATTGGCTGGTGGAGGAAGTAGCGAGAGGGGCCCTTAGGGAGGAGAGGTTTCTATGCAGAGAGGGAATTTGCATGTGGGTGCGGATTGGTGAGCGTGGAAAGGGCCAGCCAGTCACCAGCCACATGTAAATCCCTCTCCTCCTCTCAATCCCAAACTCCCGCCACTCAGTCCTCAGGCAGACCCCTAGTTGCCTTGCCAGAGCTCTCCCTCTCTCCCAGTGGCAGCCAGTTCCAGGGGTCAATCTCTTGCTAAGTCCCTTGGAGCGGAGAAGAGGGATGCCCTCATGGGGCCCCAGGGGCTTCCAGGACCATCCATTGGAGGGAAGGAGGGAGCCAGGGGGTTGCAGGACCCTTGGCCCCATCCAGGGGGTGGGATGCCCCAGTCTCTCATGCTTTGTGGCCTTCTCTTGCCCCTTTCCAGACCTCCCGAGCCACAAGGAACTTGCGCGGAGGAGCCCTCTCTCCAGACGCACATCAAGCCACCAGGAACCTGCGCGGAGGAGCCCTCTCTCCAGACGCACATCAAGCCACAAGGAACCTGCGCAGAGGAGCCCTCTCTCCAGACGCACATCAAGCCACAAGGAACCTGTGCAGAGGAGCCCTCTCTACCGTCGCACATCATTGAAGTGAGGCCAGCGTCGAAGGTAAGGCAGGAGGCCTCTCCCTCTCAGGAACCTTTTAGAAATCAGGTCTTCTATCTCCTTCAGGGTTGCATTTGTGAGCCATAACCAGGTCTTCTCCTTATCAACTTTTCCTTCAATTTTGTCAAGGAACAAAATCAGGGGGGTTGTTGCAGGGAGGTGGGAGTGTTTCACACTCGGCAGCTTGTCTGGTCCATGGCCATGCCCAGGAAGTTGTGCTCATTAGCCCCAGTCCGGGGCAGAGCCTTTTCCTGGCTTGCGCCTTGTCCTCCACTGCCACGAGGCTCATCTGCTTCTGGCCAGCACACTCCCCTTCTTCTGGGCCTCTGCCCCAGGGACAGGGAGGACAACTCTTTCTCCTCATCCTCCACCTCCATCACCTGTTTTATAAACCCAGAGATGAATGGGCCAAAATAGATCAATTTCACCAAAGGGAATGCTGGAGGTGCAAGACGCAGAAAGGCACTCTTCCCATATTTGGTGAACTTGTAAGATGGTACAAGATCTTTGGGAAAATGTGATTAAAGAAACAAGCAAAATTA